CCCCCCCCCCCGGCAATTTCAGGTGTGTATATTAATCAGAGAAGCTGGGGTTTTTTCCACTGGAAATGCAGCACTGCTGGAGACACTGTGTGTACTACACAGCTGCTATAGTGGCTGTTGCTTGCGTCTTGCTCAGACAGCTGAAGAGGCAGAGTCTTGAGTTAATAAACTTCTCACAGGCATAACTATTGGTTGAGCACTGTAGCTTGTACCTGAAGCTACAAGGTACAGCAGCAAGTGACTACTGGTAATATCTTGATGAAGCTTGTGATGTGGAAATGTGGCAGGGTGTTTGATGTGCCAGCTACTTTAAGAGGTCAGGCAGTCTTCTGAGTGACCTGCCGGGGGAGGGCGGGGTGGTCAGGCCTAATCAGAGAGTCAGCTGACCCAGGAGCCAAGCCATGTGGCAGGGCGGATGTGGCAGGGGCAGGGAGCTGATCAAGGGAGCCAGAGTCCCCACTGCAGCCCCCACCAGACCGAGCTGTGCAGCAGAGAGGACAAGTGTTTGGGCATAGGGAGAGGACAGATGAGCCCTGCGAAAGCAGATGAGTGCCTGGAGCCTACTGAGAGGCCAGGCCAGCCCAGAGAGTGAGGGGTTGTATGCACAAGGGCCTCAGGAGAGGCCAGGCCGGCCCTGGGAGAGGAGCTGAGAGTCTGTAGGCCTACTGAGGGGCCAGGTGAGCCCTGAGAGAGAGGGCAAGTGTTTAGGGGACCTAGTTAAGGGTCTGGGTGAACCCAGTGAGTGGGGCAGAGTGTGGGACCTATTGAGGGGTCCAGATGAGCCCCAGAGAAGGAGTAGCTATGCAGGAAGACTTAGGGAAGGCTCTGAGCCCAGAGAGAAGTAATCTATGGAGTAGCCCAAGAGGGCAGACCCACAGAGAGTAGAGGGCTAGCAGCTGGAGGACTGACCCTGGCCTGTGTGTTGCCAGGGCTCAGGAAGGGCTAAAGGATGAAACAGGCCATGGCAGAAACTGCCAGAGCTGGGAGAGCCTGGAGTTCTCAACTGGCCTTAGGCAGGACCAGGGTCTAGGAGAGGCCAAAGGTCCTTGTGTGGCCACAGCTGAAAGGAAGAGATCAAGGGAGGTGCAGCCCAGGATGACAATGGCTGGTGCTTGGCCATCTGAGGAGGAGGGATCAAGGACAGGGTTCCAAGAGATGGAGGATATAGAATAGAGATGGAGCCAGGGCCAGGGGGGATGGTAGTTAGCAGCCCAGGAGGGGCACAGGGCATCTAAGGGGGAGCCCAGAGAGAGGGAGATGTAAGATCAGGTAGGTTTGACGATAGGTCCTGGGTAAGACCTAAAACTGCACCCTACTGGAGTTGGTTAATGTCATGGGGATGCCTGTGGTGGGGTAGCCTCCATGAAATGCCACACATGGGCCACTGAGGAAAAGGAGAGGATGGGACACCAGAAAACCTCAGCTCCCACTACCTTGTGGGTTATCCCAGGGAGGGGGAAGGCTAGGGGAGCAAACCCTACAGAAAAGCTCTTGCCAGAAAGATTGGGACCATGTGGATCCAGAGGCCCAGTGAGGAGCCTGAGGACTCAGTGAAGAGACGCCCAGATATAGTGTGGCCCAGTTAGGGGCCAAAGAGCAAAGTGTAGGGCTGGCTGGGTCTGAGGCCTGCACAGCAGCTTGGAGAATGAAGAATTAACAGGGTCTAAGACGAGAGCAAGATGGGAGCTGACAGCTGGGAGAGAAGCTGAGAAAGAGACCAAAGAGCCTACAGCCCAGTGAGTGGTTCTGTGAACGACCGAGAGGTCTGAGGGCCCAGAGACGGGCCAGAGGAGAGACCGAGGGGTCTGGCAACCTGAATGGGTCTGAGAGAGAGACCAAGGGGTCTGAAGTGGGCCCAGAGCGGGGCCAAGGCGTTGGAAGGCCCAGTGAGGGGCTATATCAGCGACAGATAGACCATCTGTAAGGATGCCATCTGTGAGGCATGGGACATGCTGTAGGAGCGGTATGGTGTAGGAGAGGCATGGTGTAGGAGAGGAGCCACGTGATTGGCCCATAAGGAAAGGACCACACGTTGGGTGGTCATTATAGTAAGATCAGGGTAGCCCCCCACAGTATATACATTAGCTAGCATCAAGGGATGACAGGCGAGAGCAGGGCGGGGTGCCCCTAGAACATGATATTACAAAAAAAAAATTGGGGTGCCCTGTTAAAGTAAACACTTTATTTACAAGAACTTATATACAGAACTATTTACAATAAGGAACTAACAGCCTTGCTATTGTCCTTGTAAAGGTCTGGGACCTAACTATGCATGACAGAGTAAGTTCTCCAGGAAACATGCATGCCACACTTTCTGGACACTTCCCCAGAGGACTTGATCTATGTCACAGAGTCAGTTATGACTCTGGAAAAATATTTTTTTCTACATTCTGCATTCTAAAAAACAAGATGCATGTTTTATTCGGGGGGCATATTATATGCAAGAAAATACAGTAACGGTCTCAAAATATTGGAAGAAATGAACAGTTACTCACATGCAGAAAGTGAGTATAAGGGCCAATGAATTTCTGCCATATATTAGTTAAGCTTTATAAGATGATGATGCAGCACTGAAAAAAATGAACTCCCAGAGAGGAGGTAGAATAGAATAGTCACCACTGGAGCTACAAAAACTGAGATTAAATAATCATCTTACTCATGAGGGTGCTTTTAAGGAATAGCTGAACTAAACCAACTATGGATTCATCAAGCCCTGACTCTGCACAGTGCCCAACCAGCCCATCTCAGAAGATCTATTCCAAGAATGTACAAGAAATGTGGAATTCCCAGGCTATGCCAGTTAGGAGATATTCACAAGCAACAGTAAATACTAAAACATTTTTCCACAAGAGAAATCTATGCAAGTCACATATCCCAGAGGCCAATGGCCAGATCTTCAGCCCTGCTACATCTGCTTAGATTATTCAGCAACAGATCTTTCTGTCCTGGGAAATTTTTAAGGGATGTAGAGCTAGCTATGCTGCTACCCACACACCCTCATAAGTCCTAGCTATAGGGATCAAGACCAAGTAAAAGGGTCTTGATCCCAGTTACTGAAATGGCCCTCAGTGCTGTCTGCAATTGGAACAACTTAGAGCAGCTTTAAGTGAACTGTATGAAATCTTGATGCACTGTAAGGAACCAGGGAGCTTCTCTAGGTGCCAAACAGTTGGTCTGCAGGAAATGTACAAAACAAATAATTTTGGGTACAAAGCACCTTTTGGTTTTGTGGAAGAAACCTGGAGAAGTTTTTCAAGTCAACCTTGGAAGGTATTTTATAAATTTGACACAGTGATTGGGTTTTAGAGGAATAGGAGTTAGACATCCAGCAGGTACTTAACAGCTCTTTACACCTTTTAAAATTCCCATCACCTCTTGATTATGGAGTCCATTCCATTATATTTATATTCTATGTTAAATCCTTGTTTTTCAGGTTAGCCAGGATTTCACCATCTTCATTATCTTACAACAAAATTAATGAAGATTGTCCTGGTCTAACTTATTTCTTCTGGCATTGTATTGATATGTTAGTTTAACCAGAACGCTCAAATTTCTCCTTTATTTATGTACTTCCCATCTACCACAACCCCCCATCAAGACCACTTTTTTCCAGTTAGGAGAAATTCTTTTTTTTAATAAGCTGCTACTGTAGTTTAATAGTCTAGAAGGAAAAAAGCCCCTCCTTTGTGAACCTTTCAGATACTGGATATTAACTCTTGTAAAGTAGACAAATGAAAGAGGGAGCACATGTTGTATATTATAGGCTTACATTTTGATGGTAGGCTGCTGCTGTTTCCTCTTGGATTTGTTTCACCTCAGCCTCATTGGTTTCTTGAATCTTCTGAACTTTTGCCATTAATTCTGGGTCCCCACCATTCATTGTATAGAGCTTTCCTTCTCGCTGAAGTATGAGAGCTTCTGACTGTATAAGCCCCTCTCTCATCCATTTAGATCTCTATTGTTTTATTAAGAAAAAAATGAATTAGAGTCTCTTAGGGGACAAAAAACCAGACTAAGACAACATTACAGCATTTGTTTAGAGTGAAAAAATAAAAGGTATATTTCAGGTGCTCTGTGCATGTGGAAACAATCCAGTAAACTGATGTTGGTATTACTTCTAGTTAATTGCCCTATGCATTTATGAGAGTAACATGTAAACAGATCTATTTTTCTTGTTAGAGTCATTATGAATTTCTGAGGGGAAAAAAAGGCAAAGACACAGAAAATCTGTTTCTTTGCCCTTTTCTGTTTCAACTGTACCAATTTAAAGGAAAAAATTTCAACCACAGCCCATTTGGCAGCTCCCAAAGAGGAAATAAAGAATACAAGTAACGTGCATCTTTTTAATACATCTGCATCTTACCTTTCAGCTAATTAGCTATAAAAGTCTATGACACACTTTAATAGCAACTTATGGGAAGCAAGATCACTAACATCTAATTAAAATGTATATTCTTCATAATAGCAAAATCTTCTCTGCCTTCACCTCCCCCCATTTTCCTCACCCCCAACTCCACCACAGCCTACAGCAATTATATTATCTCTCTCTTCAGAGCAGGTGATGGCTGCTACAACACACATGCCAGTCTGCATTAGTCCTGTTAACTTGATGCTCTGAAAAAATAATGGAGGAACAATATCATACATCAAACCATCAGCTTAATCTGCACTGTTCTCAGTGCTGCAAATTACTGGGCAGCTCAGTCTCATTTCCACAGTCCATAATGGTATAAGTGATGGCGGAAATGCAGTACCAAAAAGGAGATTTGGGGTGTGAACCAAACCACAAAAAAGGGGAAAAAAGTTTTGGGAATAAATTGGGGGTTGTTAAACAGCACACTTTCATTTACCATGCCTATAATAGAATCCTTGTTAATGCGATGAAAAATGCCAGTTAATATCAAGCTACTGTTATCATTGCTAAACAATTTATAATAATCTAGTACAGGTTTTATTTGTTACTGCTATACACAGACATCTGACAGAAAATTATATGTTATACTTTGGTCAAGAGAATTATTGCTCCTTCTGATCTGTTCTAAAGGGAAAAAGAAAACCCCCAAATTGTAAGTAATACGTTATATTTCATACAGAATCACACTTTTGGAGGTAATAAGTGCTAGCAGAGACTCAATAGCTCAAGTGTCTTATACATGGACTTAGCTGCTTGGGCTGTTTTCAGGGAAAGGGCAGAATCATGGTCTGTGTTAAAAAGAGGGCAAATATCAGTATTTGACTGATGAGACTTACTGAGGTCCTGCAATACACACATGTTCTTGGATGATTAGATCATGCAGACAGTTCTGATTTTGACAGGCTGCTCAGCACATCAAGAGCAGTTTTAGGAGAAAGAAGTGAGAGGAAAAGTGGGAGTCTAACTTGCAAATCAATAATCACAAGGATGACTTCAGTTAACGTTCCAAATGGAACTATGCAGTGTGTATATGGATCAAACAAAGTAAAAAAAAATGCTTTCCCAAGAGTATAGCTCTAGAGATTCTATTTGTCCAAAAGAGTCCAACTGAGAAGGCAAGTTCAGTTTTAACCTTCACTTCTCCATACACACGTGTGCATAATCTAATACATTTTTATTAGGGCTCAGACTCATCTATTGTTTACAGAGAAACAGTCAAATAACAGAGAAATTTGGCAGGATCAGCAAGGATCTTCGTTTAAGTCTTAAGCCAATAGTTTGCTTTTGGGAGTCCCCCTGTCCCCCTCCCCCCACCTGCTCTTCTCTCATAAATATTACCATATTTACCCAAATCCAACACAACCCTGAACTGAAGATGACCTTCCTATAATTAGATACTATATACAGGAAAAACTTATAAATGTGTTATCATTTTCCATGTACAGAATCTAATTAGTGGAGGGTTGTCTTAAATTTGTCCCCCCACTGCTGCAGCATGGAAAGCAATGGCAGGGGGGGCAGGTGGTGGACAAGCAATAGAAGGCAGCAGGTAGGAAGGCAATAGGGGGCAGGCAGTGGGGCTTGACCTCTGCCCCTTGCCCGCTGCCACCTGCCTTCCCTCATCTGCCTGCCCCCCCATGCCTGCTCTCCCCACCTCTGGCCCCCCTGCCCATGCCCCCTCAGCCTCAGGTCCCCTTTCCTCTC